TGCTGCCAATGCTCGACATCAACTGTTCAACACCGTCAGGTGGATCCCTGTCGTATCTATGTCACTGGACTATCTTTGGGAGCAAGTGGCTCTTGGCATTTGGCACTTCGCTATGGCCCCTTGAGAATGTGATGAATAAGAACGCAAAAGGTACAAAGAAGGGAGCTACCAAAACCCAACATAGATTGAACTCGTGGTCCTTTCTTACTTATGTTTCCGTCGCATGCTATCGCCCTTGGTCTCATAAATCTAGCTGTTGATTGTTAACGAAAAAGTTTGTAGAAGAAACGCGTTGTCCTATGGAAATCATGAAACCCATTGTCACACTGGGTTCAAACTCACGTCAACATACTCATTGCAGTAGAAAACTTGAGGGCAGATGCTTGTTCCACCACTTTCATCAGAAGTCTTTGAAGGCCAATACCTTGCGGGTCTGGCGCCTGTCTCCGGCGTTTGTCACTGGCCACATGGTGCGTGGCCAAAGACCCTCGTTGCCGAAGTAATTTATTTGGTCTTCAGCTTTCAGTGCTTGTTGTGAGGCATTGCCACCATGCAATCCTAAAGGGCACGGTTTGTGAAGCAGTTCGGGACATGTGCCATATGTGCATGTTGATATGGGATTTAATTGGAGGGAAAGGATTCGGAAAGGATCATGTCTTTTGTCATTTGTGTACACGTGCCAATCTCCAAGTTCCCCCATCGCTCACTGAATCTGAAGAGCCAGACATCACCTGCCAAGGGGAGGAGGTAACCCATTGCCTGAAGTGCTGGAAAGATTGGCAAACTTGCCTGTGCGTGCCTATCAGATTGACGTGGACCGCCTCTTGAACTGAATGTGTTGATGTGTTTGTGCGTGTGCTTCTCGAGTGTGCCCTGGACAAGCAACCGATAAAGGGTTTGAAGTACAAAGAAGAAGCATTGGTATACAAATGTTGTGCAATGTGCTGCGAAGACTGTTGACGGGCTAAGCATGTCAACAGTTTGCCAGAACTTGTTTTGCACACCAATAATTTTGACAGTTTGAACATGTTGAGTCGACCAAGTGTGATTTAACATAGAATCTTGCTGAAAGTCCGTCCACACGACTTGCAGTAAGCCATATCCAGCTTTTGAGCTTTCAATTTCTTTAGGGTTGGTTGGATGTAATATGATATAATATATTGAGCTAGGCTCAAATATTTGTGAACGTGACGAATAGTCAGTTAGTGGTCATGGGATTTCTATCTGCATGTTTTGCAGAACGAACCACAACACATTCACCAAAACGATAACGTTACCAATGTAAAAAAACAATACACTCACCAAATTCTGATGATGTGCAGCTCCTCAACAAATTTTGACCGCCGCTCGTATAGTTTGCTGGAACTCCGGAATACATGGCTGTAACAACCTGTGCAATCCTAGAATCGAGTGTGGAACGGCTGCTTCAAATGGTGACAGGGTCATCATGCCTCCATGGCCATGTGCCAACTCCTGTTTGACTCCTTTTGCAATCAGGTTATGCCGGCTCGCCTGTGAAAGATTTTGAATGGCTTTGCTGGGGACTCAAGGAAGAGCAAGAGGATTTGAGCTTTGGCTGCTTATTCATGTGATTGTTTACAGTTTACATGTTGTTTTGGATTTGGACACGTGGAGAGGATCGCAAACTCTGAGGAACCTGTGCGGGATGGAGGTAGATCGTCGAGTGGATGTCGCTGTCCGGCGATGGTCCCGAGACGATGGTAACTTGGCTGACACAGCAAATGTCAACGGGGGGAATGAGGCGAAACTGCTTATTTACTTGCAAGATCTTCGAGTCGTGCACCACACCATGCTGGACACGTGCTTGGCTGGAAACGTTTGAAATCTATGCACCATCGCCGTCCCAGGACAACCTTGGGAGCTTTGGCAAGCAAAAGGCCCGTTGAAGGATTGGAAATATTATGATGGGCCTCTTAGGCAGCAACAAGACATTCCCATCAAGCCCTTTCTTCCGATATCCTTATTGAGAAAGTTGCCAAGTCACTGAAGAGGTAAACTCAAAGCTCAACAGATGAGGGATGCAGAAGCGTCCTAGCAAGGCACGTCTACCGAAGCTCAAAGCTGCGCGCATCATTTTTGCAGTTTGGACTTTGTGCGCATCTCTCAGGTGGGATGGTGACAAGCATTGCTTGTGGAATCGAGTCTACCCTTTTCCTGAATGGGGAATGGCTGCCTTCTTCAAGGCACACCAAGTACCAAAAGACAAGTGCCTCCCGACTCCAGTACGATCTGGTTGATGCATGTTAATGCATTTGTGCAGTTGTTCTGGACATTGGTTCTTGGTCTTTGAATCGTCTCGGCACCTCTTGGTCTTTGTCACTTAGCAAGCTTAGGCTGGAATGTCGAGGTGGCCAGCGACTTGTCCACCATGATGGCCAAGCAGAAGGCTGAGGAGGCAGCTTGGAACACGCAGCAGGAGGCAAAAAGAGCCAAGGAGGATCGATATAGGAAAAGAACACATTGTGCATTGGTTAATCATTGTATAATAATATCCAGGGAAGAAAACACACCAAGAAAAGAACAATAAAGATCTAAAGGTTCAACGAAATGACAACAAGAATAACATAACATCTTTGATAAGTGACAACTCATCTCGGATCTGAAGTCCAACAGTTTTTGCAGGAGATGGAAGCTGCCCAGGAAGCGGTCCCCATGGAAGTAGACCAAGGCCAACTCGAGACGTGCCCTGGCCACATCATGTAGCGTGAATATCTGGACATTTGTACTCAGTTACATAGCCCTGTTTGATGTGTTTAAGCTTCAGAACATATTTGTCCATCCAAAAACTACAGTGCTAGTATGAACAATAGACCTCAGTGGAGCATGATTGAACAAGTCAATCAGGCCACAGAACATGCCGGTATAGCCCAGTAAGATATGTTTTTTCCTTGCTTACCTAATCTTGCCTACTTGGAATCTACTTGTATCAGTTTGTGTTCAAAGTTTCACAAGTCTCTTCAAACATGTTGATTGTGCCAGAACCTTTTTGCCATCGGCAAAAGAAAGTTGAGCAGGGTTGCCTGAGGCTGGGCAAGATGAGCACTGGTGATATGGAGGTGATGCAGGAGATGTACGGAGATGTTCCTTGCAACACCCTTTTGCCTCCACCAATTCAAAGCAGTGTGACCCACTGGGACAGTTTTGGCAGCAAAAGACCACACCATGTCCTTGTTATTTCTTGTTTACACTTACTGTGCACATTCCTTCGTGCCGCAGAAAAGGAAAATCATTGAAGGGCACGCTACAGTATACAACCTTCGACTGAAGAGGTTTTTGCTTGAGAAGTCAGCAGCGGCCCAGTGATGTAATGTTCTGCGGAGGGGCAGATCTACACGCATTCATATTCATTCACTGTGATTACTACTTGGCTTCCATCAGCTACACGTGCTGTGCAGCGATTCATCCTGGGATGCGTTTGATTAGTTAGTAATTGTGGTCGTAAATATGGGCACTCTTTTGGCCCTTCTTCAGCACCCCAGTCACAAGTCTGTTTTATTCGAGCATTTCCTAATTCCAATTGACCTTGTAGGATTAGCTACATGTTCTTGCCAACAATATGTTCCCCAGTATTGCCAAGCGAGGCCATAGTGCAGTTTCCAGGATGTATTCAAGTTATCTGAGGGTTCACCATTCTCACTGTGACTGCCATGCACCGCTCTGACTTTCTCAGGAGCAAAAGCGCTTGCGGCAAGATGAAGAGCTTGAAGGTGCACACGCTGTAGCAGCCTAGTTAATGTCGAAGCCCAAATGGGCCATTGGAGACGCTCGTCGATCAATGCATCCAGTCCCAGAAAAGATTGTCACGACTCACTAAGTGCGGGACGTTGGGTGTGTTTGTTCTTGAGCTGCCGGAATCGAATGAAGGAGCCAACAGAATAGAGCATTTTGAGAGTTGTGTTCATGAACATTTCCTATATCAGTGACTGGGCAGAAAACATGTTTTCCAGCTAGCTTGCAGTAGACGTTTTGTTGCTTCTTTCTCACACATTATCCAGTTGGGGCTTTTCAGCATCCTGACTACAAACGGCTGCTGGTGTGAACACAGTGGATAGAATGCTTGCTCCGATGTTTGCAAGGTTCACCAATTCAATGCCCATTATTTGGCATTGTAGATAGCAGATTCAAATTGACAAGGCTGCGGCCACGGTCAATCTGGGTCTTTTGCCCTGTCATGAACAATGACTGTCGCTGCGGCATTTTCCATGTCCAACTGACCTGCCTCGGGCCGCGAGCCTGATGGACGTGAAGCAGTTGAACGCAAAACAGAAGTTCTTTGACACAAATTCAAGACACTCACAGTCTCACTCCAAGCCATTTGGGTTGACCAAGCTGCAGGACCTTGCAGATGGCCTGGAGGAACGCTGGTTCTTAGGCTTTGTCGATGCGATGCCGGCGCCCGGCGCCAAGGACACAGGGATCACTATCATGGTGCGTCCATGTGCATGTGTGTGTGTGTTTGGCATGAAGAAAAAAGGGTCATAATGGGTCATGCAAAAGCTCTAGCCATGTCCTCAGATCTCGCACGCGAGGAAAAAGTCTAAGCAGCATGATCAGCAAGTGATGTTGACAGTAAGGTTGAGGCTGAACAGTTGCGATTCAAGGCAACATGTCAGTCGACAGATGACTCCAATCCTCATGCCAACTGAGCTTGAAAGGTTGAATTCTTCAGGTTCGCTATGCCGGGTGGGTCAATTGCGTCTCTAACATTCCAGTGTCGTATGACTCCTCGATGACAACGTAGGATCCGTTGTGGACATCAAGAACCCCAGGCTAACCCCGACCCCTCGAGCCATTTCCAATGACCGAAAAAACAAAAAGCATTGCTTCTAAAGATGCGGCCTACAAGTCGAAGTAGAGTGTAAAAAGAAGATAAGGGCCGCCCTTTAAGGGCCCCTTTAACGAGGGTCAATTCAATGTGCCCTTCTAGGATAAGCTCCTATATGCACATCCACTGTATAATAAGTCTTTTGGACTTCTTGGATTGTTCTAGGAGTCAAGCTCTTCAGACTCCAGCGAGGAGGTGCATCCCATTGGCAAACTGATTCAATGAAACTATATTTTCTGGGTGGATCTTTGTTGATGTTTTTAGGCATTCAAATTCAACCTGCAGGCAGAGGACCAGGCATGCCGCCCTCAGAGACAACTGAGAAGAAGGAGCCGTGGCCTTGAATGAACGAACCCATTACTTTGGAATCTGTAAGACTGTAAGTTGGCCTTTGGATGAAGCTGTAGCATGCTTGCGCTTGGGTTATAGTAACAATCAACTCACATTCATTCAGATTCTTGGGTTTCAACCCCGCGACTAGATCTTAGGTCGCAGCCATAGCCAAGCTCCCGGGTACCGAGCCTCAGCAAATGGATTTGATGGTTTCCCATTTCTACAGTGCATTAGTGCTCATGGATGCGTGTCCGATTCCAGTGGGGCATGATCAGTTCAAGATCTCTTTTCACAGCATGCTAGCTGATGCTGTTGCGGGTGGATGACAGATGGCATGGCCTGCTACGGCTTGCTGGCAGGTTCTTATTTGCAGGATTGTTGCACTGATAGCAGGGGCAGGGTCTTATTAGGGTTTCTGTCCACCAAGAATTGACAACCCGTTGCCGTTGCCCTTTTGAGTTCTTTGATGGCTAAGAGTGTTCTCCACCGGACTGCATGTACTTGCGTTCAGACTTGCGTTCAAATTTTAACCTTTCAGGTGTTGAGCTACGAGGCACATGGCACACACCATCGCAGATCTTGCTAATCTTGGATAGAGCGTGTGCATGTTTTCCTGCCTTGGGAGTTTGTATGCGTTTATTTGTGTTTCTCCCATACAAAGACCGAAGTAAAGTATGAATATTTACTAACATTTTAGGCAACAAACACATATAGTTCTTTATGTTTTTTCGTGGCATATGTTGGTCTATTTTCGGAGCGAACACCGTTGAGACTAACCTAGACCAAATTCAGATACGCCATGGTGGGCCGTACGGGTATTTGGCATGGTCTATGTTAGCCTCCACCGGGCTATGTTGACCTCTACCGGCGCGGTCTAGGTTAGCCTGTGTTCTGTGTATAGTCAGATTGCAGTTGGTCCGTGTTTGTGTCAGAATCGATCATAGACTGACAGTGGGAATGGTCCATGTTAGCCACAAGCCTGACTGAGGTTTGTGGAAAGTTTGTGTCAGTGCGGACAATGGACCGAGAGGGGAAGTGGTCTATGTTAGCCACATGCCTCACTCGATATCTGGAAGACTATATGTCAGGTTGGACCATGGACTGAGAGTAGAGAGAGTGGGAATGGCCCATGTTAGCCACAAGCCTGACTCAAGCTTGTGCAAACTTTGTGTCAGGCTGGACCATGGACTGAGAGTAGGTAGGGTGGCACCTACAGTACCTTGATTGAGACTAACCTAGACCAATTTCAGATAGGCCCCACGGGTGTTTGGCATGGCATGGTCTATGTTGGCCTCCACCGGGCTAAGCTGTTTAGCTTCGCACCTACAGTACCTTGATTAAGATTAACCTAGACCAAGCTCAGATAGGCTCTACGGGTATGTGACATGGTCTATGTTAGCCTGCGCTCTGTGTGTAGCCAGATTGCAGTTGGTCCATGTCAGTGAGTGTCCGGAAATAGCCCCAAAAAATATGCTAATACAGTTTCGCCGGGAAGTCACCTTTTCCAGTGGTGAGGCGTTCGCTTGTGACGCTACTTGGCTCGCCCTTGTGACGCTCACTAACTACCTAACTGGCTAACAAAGAAACCAAATAACCAACGAAGAATAGCTCCAAGAACAGAATGTGCATCAGGGGCTCCAACGACCCCCCGCCCCTCAGAATGTAAGAGTGTGTACCCCCAGGATGCAGGTGAGTGTATTGTTTTTTTTGTTTGTTTGTTTGTGCTTGAGTGTCGTGCTGGTCCCCATCCCCCACCCCCACCCCCCAGGATGTAAGAGTGTGTAAAACATGTTTTCCTTGTTAATACTGCCCCACCCCACACCCCTCCCACAGATCGCCCATGATGTTGGTGATGCTGGTTTTCGTCGCAAGTGATCGGCAAATCTTCGTCGCAAGCAAACGGTGGACTTTTCCAGTGGTCCATAGTAAATCCATCGCACTTGAAAGTGAGTTCTGTCTGGTCTATGTTGTTTTTCCCCAGAGTAAGAATATATATATATATATGCACACAAGTACGCTATATTTAAAAAACGATCATATAAATAGATAAAACCAAAAGTGTGGAGTATATGTTTTCTTCAAGGTTCCTCTCCATTGTAAATGCTAGTCATCGGTTCAAGGAGTCAAGAAGGCATTCCTTGCTTTCTCAGGCCAGAAGGTACTGCTGCAGATGGAGAGGTCCTAGACCTAGAAATCATGCCTTCCAGGAACTTTTGAAAGAGTTGTGTCTCCACAAGCTTTGTCGTCAAGAGTTGTGTCTCCATTGAGGACCACAGGCAGCCATAAGGAAGCACTGGCAATTGCTGTTGTATGTGTTTGTGTGTATTCCTCAATTACTGTACTCACAACTAGGTTGTGCGCAGCTACAAGGCCAGCAGTTCGAGCAGCTCCTCCTCCAGCAGCAGTGGTGCGCGATCAGTTGAACAAACCCACCGGTAGTAATTCAAGAGTCCACCAAGACGATGTGTCCACGACCAATCATGCCAGTCGGACGATTCGAGTCTTACAGGTGCAATGAGATCAGATTTGTGTCCAAGAGCCCCTAGTAGTTTCTTGTTACTAGTAGCGATGCCCTTGTTACTAGTAGCTTCTTGTTACTGTGGATGTTCGCTATTTTGGCCACAAGTCGCTGCTTACATGTGAGCTACTGTAGGTGAATGATAATTCTGATCAGCCAATGCTGGATTGCAAGCAGCGCCTATAATTGTTTGAACATGTTTGAACAAAACATGCTTCTTACTGTTAGAGCCTTGAGTTATAGCAGAAGACACTCTTCTGAGTTCACATCCGTCAGAATTAACTCGTTTTAACTCTCTTAAACTAAAGGACAACATGAAATCAATATATAGCTAACTGTTGATACTGGCTGAAACCTAGTTCAACGAGTTTGGACATCCAAGGGACATCCACCTCATTGTGTGTAGAGTCGTTCAACATTCATGTATGTTAGACGAGCATGGATGATGCCGTCATAACAGCCATGGAGAGATGGAGTTCGAACGCGCACTCTTCCGTATTCATCAGAAAGCACTCCTCACTGAGCCTTTACGACGATTCCGGTTTCATCTTGAGAGAGTTCTCCCAGCGCCTTTCAATAAATCCAACCTGTTCCGTTCTTACCTGAAGCTTTATGAGGTGCCATTCTCTAAACCTAATAATTACCGATGGCCTCCGATGGCCTCCAACCTATGAAGCTTTTCTTTCGGTGCCATTAATCATTCTCTAGCTAGACAGCTAGACTGTTTGTCCTCACCTTTCCAGACCAGGCGCTTATTGGGATCCAAGTTCTGGTCCTAACATGCTTGCACACTTGTTACGTGGGCCAGTCCAACTGCTTGCCAGAAGTTCTTCGGCATGCTGGTCGCCAGATGGAAAAGTAAAAAATGTGTGTTTTTGTGTTTTACTTTTTTGGTGTGTTTGTGTGACGGTATGACACGTGGTTCAGTTCAACCTTGGGACTACGGCAATGAACGTGCAGCAATGTAGTTTTTCCTTTGACAAAGGCAAAAAGTGCTGCAAATTGCGGAACCGATGCTGCTTGAAAAGTCATTTACCTGGCACCTGGAGTGTCTATGCGCAACGAAGGCCTTTGGAATGAGTCCACCGATGAGCCGTACTTGCCAGAGGATGCCTTGCTCCACGTGAGCCTGAGCAATGGGGATGGCATCACTGGCGTTACCCTCATGGAGCGGCCCCAAATAGGAGCTGTCATCAAGGATGGCTTCAAAGTGCAAGAGAAACTCGACGAGATTGATGAACCTACGACTTCCTTTTGTTGGTTTTACAATAAACCTTGTTAAAAGCCCGCTCCTACTTCATTAAGTAGACAACACCTACTTAATTAAGTAAGGGAGTAGTTTGTTAATAGCTCTACGGTAACGCTTTTAAATATATGGTGGCCTGGCCAGAGCAATCGGCCCCGGAGGTAGTCTAAAATACCTGTTCCCACCGTGTCTTTAAAGGGTCTGGCCGGGCCGCGTATATTTAAAATGTAGACGGATCCCTGTTGACATTTCTTCTACAAAAAGGGAGAACTTGAGGCCCTTACAGAGGGGCCATGTTGTAACGAGGCAGTTTTTGGCACCTACAGAACCCGATTTTTGCAGAGAAATAACTTTGCTTTCTGCCCAGCAACTAGGACGATC